TCAGAAACAGGAGCTCCTGGTTTGTGCACAGACGCATGTCACAGAGATTTATGGTCCAAATGTTTGGTTGAACCATGTTGGAAACACTTTAGTCTGACACTGGGACAGATTTTAAAAATAAGTTATTTTCATATCAGTAAAATTAGATTTTGCATATAAAATGTATAAATATTTGCATAAAACAATAAAAACTGATATATGAGACCTTTTATTTTCCCTTACTGTTTGTTGTTTTAGTTTCCAGCTGCTTGCATTTGTTCTTCAGAGAAATTCTCGGGTTTGGGAGTGATGGTTTGATCTTCGCTCTGTGTTATTAAAACAGAAGACAGAGATACAGACGCTCTCATTATGTGTGTTCATGCGTATTAAACTCTTATTTTTCAGTAATGTGAGGCAGAAGAAAGCAATCCCATTGTGAGCTATTTGATTTATTGTTGAGGAGTCTACCAACCACAATCTAAACAGAAGTGGGTTTTCGTTTGTTTGTGTTGTCCGAGACCACATCCTCCTGAACAAGTGCTCTATGTGTTAGCTAATTGAGTTTGCCCGGGGCAGAGTGTGCCTGCAGATGGGTTTGAATAGAGATGAAAGGAGCAGCTATGGGTTTATAAGCACCATGAGTGGATCGTTCAGTTTTCCTCCTCTCTGTCAGGTTCTTGGTATTCTGTCAGACTTGTTACTAAATTGTTTTTATTTCCGTGTACAAAATGTATAAGCTGTTTTATTGCTTTCTTAATTAATGCACCTCACCCTGCAAACCGAACCTGCAATTTCATTGGACTTTGTGTTAAAGCTTCCCTTCCACCAATGTAGGTTGTTGACATGCACATCTTTTCATGTGCTACAAAGCATTCTGTTTTATGGCTTTGTTCTGCTTGGCTCTACAGCCTTCTTTTACTTTTGATTTAGTTTGGTGACATTTTTCCTAATTTTATTGTATTTTCTTGGCAGCCCGCTATACAAGCATGTTCTTATCAACCCAAAGCACTCTGCTTCTTTTTTAGTTTCAAAAAGACACGTCTCCACTTTCTCTTCCAGCTTTTAGTTTAGGAATCAACTCGTCCTTTGCCAGTATAATCCCTGTTTATGAACATGCTACATCTTCCTGTTTTTTGTGGTTGCTGTCCTTGCTAAATAGTAAATAGACTGGTTATTATAGCGCACTTTTCTACTCTATCAGAGCACTCAAAATGCTTCATACAATTTGCTTCGTTCACATTTGTTCAGACAAGCACTTTTTTTTCAAAGCGTAAATGCCTTCTATTCATACACATTTATACTCTGAAGGAAGTGTAAGGATATTTGGCATGCAGACTGAGAGCAGCCAGGCACCAAACCACCAACCTTCTGATGTAGATGACCCGCTCT